GGCGCCGAGCCTATGTCTCTGTTCTTGTGCCAGGACCATCCTGGCTTGGTTACTATAGCCTTATAGTATAGTTTGAAGTCTAGTAAAATGATGCCTCCCTATTATTTGTCCTTTTTTGTTAAGGTTGCTTTGGCTATTCATGCTCTTTTCTGGTTCCAGGCGATGTGTAGAATTTTTTTTTCTAGATCTGAAAAAAATGATGTTGGTATTTTAATGGTGATGTTTTAATGAGGATCACATTGAATCTGTAGATCACTTTTCATAGCATAGACTGATTACTTGTCTAAGGACATTAGGCTCATACATAGTAGAAGGTATGGTAGTAGGAGGGCAAGGTCTATTAGTTATCTGTTGCTGTGTGACAACATTACCAGACACTTGGCAGATTAAAACAACATGCTTATCTCATCTATGTGGGTTTGGGTATGGGTTAGCTGGATCTTTTGCTGAGAGTTTCACAAGAGCGTATTAAACGTGTTGGTCAGGACTGAGTTATCTGGAGTTTTGGGGAAAGATCCATTTCTCCATTCATAATTCTTGGCAGTATTCAGTTTCTTCCAGCTGTAGAACTGAGTGCTTTCATTTTTTTGCTGGCCTGAGTTAGTAACCCTCAGCTCCTTACCACATAGGGTTGGTGAAAATGGCTGTTTGCTTCTTCACAAACAAGTAGCTGGGGACAAGATTGGTGAAGCAGGGATCATAGGAACCATCTTACGAGTGTATCCTCACAAGAGGTCTAAATGTAGGAGGTAATCTGGTAAGTGTATTATAGCACTTATAAAAAGGAAGTATAAATGCAAATATTGAGATGAAAATATTTGCCTCATTTTTAGAACTGAGCTTTTTTGCCACTAGGTGGTGGTATGGTCATTAGACTTAAGTAACTACTGCGTTTGTATAAAATTCTTTAAATCTTTTCAATTAGGCTGGAAGAGTTGGGTGCCTGCTGCAACGTGGAAAATACACCAGAGGGCTGTAGTCAAGGAGCAGAAACAGCAAAGGTTTGATATTTTCTAAGGCAAACAGTTTTTCTACTCTTGGCTTGTAGCAGAAGAATTAAACTGACGGTCAGGTGGTCCATTCAGTTATATGGGATTGGGGAAGAGTTGGTCATGTTTTCCTTTGTGGAAATCTTAACCTATCCAAAAAAGTAAAACTGCATGCTTAATTTTCTTAGAATTCTTATTCTTATGGAATTTTAGATTTTTCAGTACAAACTCTGAATACTTCAGAAATTTCAGAATCTGTTGTTTTAAAGTTAAAGTAATACTACAAATCCAATATTTAGTTTGCAACCTTCCTGATAGTAAGGTCACTTATTTCAACAAAGGATATAATGCCTATCCTTAATCTGTTCAAAGAAACTAGGTGATAAGCCTGGTCTATTATAGTTGGAGAAATAGGAAAAATTTTACTATTGGGATAGGCCTAAAATAAAATAGGTCTTCATGTTGAAGCCAACTAAATAGGGCAAACAATCTCTAGGTACATTTGCAGTGCTGGTAATTTTGGAACAGTATTGAATAAGGTGAAATTCTTGGAAAGCAGAAGAAAAATTGTAGTTCTTTTGAAATTTTAACAGAATTTGACCTAATGAAGTAAAAAGGTAATTATAGGGTACAGAAACACTTGCACCTCCATGTGCATATGAAGATAATACTTGTTGAATAGTTCTGAATTTTAAATTCTGGTCTATGTTGTATTGAATTATGTGAGCTATATCCTCAGATATTGGCTACTCTAGACATTATTTCCTTTCTGCCATCTAAAAGCTTTCTGATAATTTGCATTTTACTTCTTTAGTCTCCTAGTTTTAAAAATACATGGTAAAATTTATTGTCCTGTTTATTTTCTTGTTTTAAGAAAGAAAAGGAGGCATGTGTACGTAGTCTTTTTTTTTTTTTTAAGTAAGAAAAGAGCCTTAATTCTTCCTTCTACATAGAAGGAAGACTTAAGCTAAGGATGGTGAGTTTGTAGCATGATTATTTTTGTTTTAGTCTCCAGAAAATCCATCAAAGATGCTCTTGCCCTATAAGGTGCTCAAAGCCCTGGATCCAGAAATCTATCGTAATGTAGAATTTGATGTTTGGTTGGACAGCAGAAAAGGTAATGAAATATCAACAGGATACTTTAGAATCCTGACAGATCCAGGAGAATAATTTTGTAAATTGTTTCTTATAAGAGACATTTTCAATGCCCTGTTGTAAAAAAACAGTCTGATAATTTTAATTTTGCTTCACAATGATTTAAATCCAAAGGAGGAAACAAATAGGTTTAGAAATGAGGAGGGTTCTTTTAGAGTCTCCTGTTTATTTTAGATTTCAACTTTGCAAAGACTGTGGTGATAACCTTACGAGTGCCAAAAACATTTAGTGACTGTAAATAAGCTCATCTTAAATTTAAACTGTTAAGACCATGCTCATTGGTAAACGAATAAGGTCACGCGTGTAAACCAATTCTGATGTACTGCCTGTTTTTGTATGGTCCATGAGCTAAGAATGGTCTTTACATTTTTAAATGGCAGAAAATATTAAAAGAACAATATATTGTGACATATAAAAATTATGTAAAATTCAAATTTCAGTGTGGATAAATACAGTTTTACAGCAGAGTTTGAGTAATTTTGATCGTCTGTATGGCCCATGAAACCTAAAGTATTTGCTAGTTAATGGCTTTTTACATACAATGTTCACCAACCCTTGAAATAGGTAATTGTTTCTCTTTGTAAACTAAGGCCATCAAACTAGGCCTTAAAATTCTGCCTTCAAGGTAAGCCTTTCATATTTCACATTCATCTCCGTGAACTTTGGTGAACCAAGGTATAGTTAATAATTTAGGCTTGGTGCCTGCAGCTCAGTAGTTAGGGTGCCGGCCACATGCATCATCAGGGCTGGTGGGTTCAAATTCAGCCTGGACCTGCTAAACAACAATGACAACCACAACAAAAAAATACCAGATGTTGTGGTGGGTGCCTGTAGTCCCAGCTACTTGGGAAGCTGAGGCAAGAGAATTGCTTAAACACAAGAATTTGAGGTTTCTGTGAGCTGTGATGCCACAGCACTCTACCGAGGGAAACAGTAAGACTTTGTCTCAAAAAAAAAGAAAAGAAAAGATAACAGTTTAGAATGAGATTAAGACCTCACGTAACAGCGGCGCCTTTGGCTCAAGCGGCTAAGGCGCCAATCACATACATCTGAGCTGGCAGGTTTGAATTGAGCCCGACCCGCCAAACAACAATGACAGCTGCAACCAAAAAATAGCCAGGCGTTGTGACGGGCGCCTGTGGTCCAAGCTACTTGGGAGGCTGAGGCAGGAGACTTGCTTGAGCCTAGGAGTTGGAGGTTGCTGTGAGCTGTGATGCCATGGCACTCTACCCAGGTGGACAGCTTGAGGCTCTGTCTCAAAAAAAAAAAAAAAAAGACCTCATGTAACACAGTATGCTATTAGAAGATATAGCCTGCATAGTGTTACTTTAAAATCATACCTTTTTCATGTTTTGACCAACTAAGATTAACAAACTCCTAATTTCCACCTATTTGTTTTTTAAAGCACAAAATTATTCTGGCAGGTCTCTTTAGTTGATGACAGAAATTATCCATGAGGAGTGATAGAATGGCCCTTTCGTACTCCACACCCCAGATTTTCACTTATAGTTGTAGTGTTGTCAAAGGAACTATGATGAAGTTAAATTAGGAAATTAATGATATAAAATAGTAAAGAAACTACTAAATTTGAGTTTGGATCTTTTTTTTAATAGAACTTCAAAAATCTGAATGCATGGAGTTTGCTGGAAGACAGTACTATTTGGGTGACAAGTGTCAGGTTAGTTAATTCTTTAAAGAATCAGTCATTTTTTTTCTCCAAGATTTTGTTTTTGTTCATTAATATGAGTTGGTTAAGATTTATTTACTAAGTTCTAGAAAAATGTTGTTTAATGTTTGTGTTAAATTTTAATTATAAACTTTTATGATTAGAATACGACTCTTTCAGTATATGCTGCTTTGTTGAACCAGACTGGCAGTGTTTAATATCAATTACTTTAAAAAGTAGACACTGAATTCCATTTGGGGAAAAGTGATGTTTTGTTAGGCAGAAGTTGTGTCTTTCAGTAGACTTGAGACTAGGTGTATTCTCTTTTCAGGTTCAGTTGCAATCAGGGGGAAGATACTATAATGCACATATTCAGGAAGTTGGAAAGGAGAGCAATTCAGTAACCGTTTTCATTGAAGAACTGGCAGAAAAGTAAGAATATAATAATTTGTTGAGTTACTAAAGTCATTGACTCTCAGTGCCTTTTTGTAATACATATATTAAATTGATCATTACTAGGATGGTAGTAAGAGAACCAGGGTTTTATCTGTTGGGGTGGGGAGCCTGTGGCCTTGGGGCCACATGTGGGCTTCTGGATCCTTGAGTGTGGCCTTTTGACTGAATCCCAAATTTTATAGAGTGAATCCTCTTAATAACTTAATTAAAGTTTCTAAATCCTAGACACTAGCCAACTTATTAGAAATATTAAATTTGGCTCGGTGCCTGTGGCTCAGGTGGCTAAGGTGCCAGCCACATACACCCAAGGTGGCGGGTTCGAATCCAGACCCAGTCTGCCAAACAACAATGATGGCTGCAACCAAAAAATAGCCGGGCATTGTGGCAGGCGCTTGTCGTCCCAGCTACTTGGGAGGCAGAGGCAGGAGACTCACTTGAGCCCAGTAGTTAGAGGTTGCTGTGAGCTGTGATGCCACGGTACTCTACCCAGGGGAATAGCTTGAGGCTCTGTCTC